CTGTAGGCTGACGTCTATGGCCTTCGGTTGGCTGAACACGAGTGAATTTACGCGAGAATCCGCTTAAAAACATAGTTCGTGTAACTTAGACGAGTCAAACGTTGGCCCAGTGTCATCATTGCTTGAATTTTTCATTCGGAATCTCCCACGTGTCGCATCGTTCCACAACTGATTCTCCCGTGGTGATTCTCTACCAACACTTAAGCAGCATCGGATTCAGAACTTATCCTCCTATGCCACCCCAAAAGTCACACGACCGATCGGGTTCATTTATCGATCGGTTGGATAGGTCACCGCAACGAGAGATCTGGCGCTTGCCCACTTAACTCGAGCGAGAAGCCACACCTTGTACACAGCCGCGAGTCTTTAGCAGACCCCGTGAACTACGGCTGTACACTTATTTTAGATGTTATTTCCTTGTCGCTGTACTCTAACTGGTACATCTTTGGTTTCCTTGAATGTGTTGATAGGATTATTATAGCTAGAACAGTTGTATATTATGAAGGACGTCAAATAATCAATTCTGTGGTTAGGCTAACATTACAACGGAATGGAGGAATATCTGAAATTAATATGGGATAATTGGGTCAGAAGAAGTTCCCCTGAAGAAAGGTAGGTACTTTCGGGATAACTAGACACATAGACCTGAAAAAGGGATGAATACCGCATGGAATGTACTGATATTAAGAGGAGGTTGTCACAAAACATTTAATTTTTTTCGATACATAAAGGATACACGAGACGGTAGATCTAAATTCCGCCATAAATAAACAGGTTATAAAACACTAGGTAAAAATAACGGGATTAACCTACTTTTCATCGACCAGGTTTATTTTGTTACTAAACTGTCAACTTATTGGCACCTACCTCTGTTTACCATGCTTTGTCGCAGTTCCTGGAATTTACCCACTTTTCCGAATTCCCGAGGGGTGCGACATAGCAGGAGATTGACTGTAACTTGAAATCTGTAAGGTCAAAACACTTCAAATGTCTTGGATGTTTCCTCTCTGTTGACCTCAAATGGTTCTGTCACGTAGAACAAACGTTTCTTAAAGTCAGAAAGTCGACCTTTTTACGCCATTGTCATTGTACATCGTTCCTAAATTTATTTTCCCGTGCGTTTCATGCCATTGGACCTACCCATTATCTTTCCCGGGCTACTGTCTAAGGACTTCATATTGATTAGACGCTCTCTGAAAGCATCTCTAGGTAGTGAGCTGTATCTTACGAGGAGCTGATTGATTCCATTGTCAACCAACACCTTAAGGTGTGTGACCGTCTGTGTGACTCTATCTTGTGCGATGCGTCACATCCTTTACACTCAGCCCTATCTAGCTCCATCTTAAATTCTGTCAACCGTAATAAATTTAAACATTTATATACTCGTACCACCGCTTTTCACAACTCCCTTGTACCTTACCTTTCACGTTTGTTGGTTTCTAAGGGACGAATATCAAACGAACTTATACACCGGCTAATGTAAACTTTCATCCTGAAATTTTCTTCATTTGTTATTTGTTCTCAGTGTTCTCT